TTAAGGCCAAGATCAAGAAGAAGAAAACAAGAAGGCACTTTTCCTCTCCTGCCCAATTGCCATCATTCAGAGAGGCACCCCTAGGCCCAGGTGATCTGTTCTTTGGTCATTTTATATGGAAACTGTTGAAAAAATTTTTGAAAACAGGGAAGCGACACAGTCTGCAAGGCTAGGATTTGGGCAACCAGAAATGTACAAAAGCTGTCTGAGATAGCCAGCTGACCAGGACATAGATAACACAGGCCCTGTGGGTAGTTTACCCCCCTGCCCCCATCCCCCATCAATCCTGAGGACACCTGATCTTGAGTACATGCCCTCCAGCTGGACTATGGGGTGGCTGGAGTGCAGCCTAACTAGATAATTGTTCAGGACGTCCACAGTCAGTACCCAGGATCACCTACAGACAATGCACAATGCATAACCACTAAATGGTAGGCAATAACAATAGTGTTGATCAAGCCAGACTTACTCTATTTTTAAAAGTTTTTGAGGCAATTTTTTCGCTGATAGCAGTCAATATTCCATCAGGAAACAGATGGCACAAAGACAGTAACTGACAAAAATTTTGTAGACAATAGCACAGGGGATGGTGCAGCATGCCAGGGCTAACAGCAGGAGGAGCCATTATCATCCTTAGGTGTGAAGGGATAAGGAGAGAGATGGTTACCTCAAGCCAGAGAAAGCTGTAATTGGAAAGACACTGAGGGACAGGCTGTGGCCTTGAAGACCTTTTGAATAGGAATCCAGTTACTACTGTTATCCTGCAAGTAAGGAACTGGGAAAATAAATGACCTGATCTCACTCTTCTACCCTCCTTCTTTCTGTTCCTTCTTGCATAGCCAAAACCCAGCCAAAAGCCTGAGGGCAACAAATGTGGCAGATGCAGCCGATGGAGCCCAAAAAACTTGGTCTTCTAGGGCACAAGGCCAGATGGAGAAGGACAGAGAGTGGATATGACAGACAGAGGATGTCCATACACAAAAGAAGGCAGGAACCAGTGGCCAAGCTTCAGAGGACTGCTTTAGAAGAGCAAACGAGGTAAGAGACTGATAAAAGGCATGGAGTAGTTATGGAGAGGTATTGAGTAGAAGACTACATTTTCAATGAGTTGCCCAAGAAGGAACGGAACAGGATGCAAAATGATCTTAAGGAGATCTCTGGATTAGGAAAATATAGTATTTCCTGACTTGCAAAAAGACAGAATTTTCATCTGAAGAGCAGAAGGATCAGCTGTAAAATGAATGACTACAGAGAAAATGACTAACAAATGAACCCAAAATGAGACGGGAAAGAAAATTATATAAATAATGTCAAAAATATTACCATATGAGTATTAGAAAGCATTACCCCACTTGATGCCCAATAATAATTAGTTACTGTTAGAATGCATTTACACTATTATATCAATGCCTAAATGTGTTTTGTTAAGGTAACATTTTACATTTAAAGGACAAATTGGAATTATTCTAGTGTGATCCTCTTAAAAAAACATAGGTGTCACTTAATGGATTAGAGATCTCAGGGATCAGTGTTTGAACTATGAATGTGTCATTAATCTTATTAGGGACAGTATATGATTTATTGTTGAAGAATCTCATTAATACTTAAAATATGCCAGTTGCCAGGAACCATGAAGAGTAGAGTCAAAAAGTGTAACCACCTCATGAAGATAGCTCTCACCATCAGTACGGCTGACCATGTATTGTCACACCAGAGCACTGACAGCCTTCCTAACATTATTTAACACCTTCCTGGGAGTGGGTGCTCAGCCATTAGCTATTAAGGTGCCCACTTCCCACACTGGAATACCTGAGTTTGACTCCTGGCTCCAGCCCCTGACTCAAATTTCCTGTTAATAGAGACCCTAGTATGCAGCAGTGATGGTTCCAGTAACTGGGCTCCTGTCACTCTTTTGGAAGACCTGGGTTGTGTTCCCAGCTCCTGGCTTTGGCCTTGGCTCACCCCCAAGATTGTGGGCATTTGAGGGAGTAAACCAGCAGATAAAGTGTTTCTTTTTCTTTCTTTCTTTCCCTCCCTCCCTCCCTTCCTTTCTTCCCCCCTCCGTCCCTCCATCCCTCCCTCCATCCCTCTCTCCCTCCCTTCCTTCCTTCTTTGTTCTCAGTCTTCTCTCAAATAAACAAAAAAATTTCAAAAATCATCTAGCCCTTTCCTGAATTTTTCTCTAGTTCTTAAAAGTGTACTTTGTTTTAAATATCCATCCAATAATTGAACTGGGAAAGTTATGCAGATGCCTCTCTTCAAGAAAAGCTCATTCCATTAGTAAAATGTGCTAGCTACAGGGTTATAGGTGTCTATATTGGAATATTTTCATTAGAACAGGTGTCAATCTGATTAATCAAACAATAATAGCAAGCAACTCCATGTTACTCTAAATAATGGTAAACTACAAGATACATGTTTCCTTTTTTTTCAGCTCTAAAACAATAAACTAAGATAATAAGTAGAATTTTGCAGACTGGTTAGAACCCTTTACTTTCAAAAGAGACTTGAAAAGGAAGACTGAATGACCTTTCCATGAAAAAGTCGATCACCTACTGTTATTTGTATCTCTTCTTGGCAACTCCCTGTGAAAGGAGTGGTGAACTAAAATCAGCTTCAACTTGTGCAAATTAAAAATAACCTTCAAGCTAATGGCTTTTCTACACCACTCTTTACTGAGCAAAAACTTTGTGCCCCATAAAATTAAATTACCTCTTCAAAACTGACTTCTATAATACATTACAAATACATTGAAGTAAAATTGGAATTTCTATGTAATAATATCTTGCCCCCCAAGGTAGCATTCTTTTTCCTGTGAGGATTGATTTCATCCTTAATGGGAATACTCCGCCTAGTTCTGGGGTCTACAACCTGAGAGGGGGCCAGGAAACCTAAAAATTATCAAAAAATGGCAGAACAATTAAAGTCTCCCAAAATAACTCGATCTTTGAGGGAACTAGAACTACAATTTAAAGAAATAAATACTTGACTGCTTTACCAAACACTAAATTGAAAGAATGTGAAGCAGTCTTACCTCTTGGAAGGTGACCAATGATTTTCAATTTCTTGAGCAGAGATCAGAACAAAACAAAACATTAAGTATTGTGATGAATTAGAAGGTGGTGGCTCTGGCATTAACTCTGGTAATCACTAAAAATTGACTATGTTTTCACTAATTGAAGACGTTCTAAGAAGTTTAAAACGGGATGAAAGTCATTGTTGAGTGGATGTTTTATACTGAGAACTAAACCAGGTCTTTTAGCAATGAAAATGTCAAGAAAAGAGGAATGCTGTAACGCACTTGAAAAGCTGAGTCATATAAAACTCTAAACACAGGTTGGTGGTACAAATTAGGCATATAATTTGAATCATAAGACAACTGGAAGGAAAGGCACAATTTTCATGAGGTTGTAGAAAACTAGCCTGTTAAGATTTTGTCTGAAAGACAATGGGTTAATATAAAAGGCAGGTACGTGATAAAATACTATCCTGCCAGCTGTGCCTAGGATTGATGAAAGTCAGAGCACATTACTAATAAAAAACTACCAATACCAAACAGTTACAGACCACTACTAGGTGTCTGTTCTAAAGATTTCCATATATATATATATTAACCTGTTACATCCTCAAAGTGATGCTTTGAGGTCAATACTGTTATTATCTCACTTTACAGATAGGGAACCTGAAGCACTTAAGTAACGTCTGATTCTGACAGTAAGCATCCTGCATAGCACTGTGTAGTCAATAATTAACAAGCCAGGTGGATTTCACTTTCATTGCCAGCACTGATCTTCCAGAAAAGCCAAGAATACTCATACTGCCACAAAACATACCCATTTTGGAAGTTTCATTATGGCAATGTTCAAACATAACACCAGTAGAAAGAGTAGTACTGACCGGGATCCCAGCCCCTAGATACCCAGCCTCGATTCATCTTTCTACCTCCACTTGTTTCCAGTGCCCTCAGACTTTTATCATTTCATTATCATTACCACATTGTTCAGTAGGTGTCTCTAAAAGATAAGATTTTTCTCCCTTCTAAACATGACCACAATGCAATCACAAGATCTTGAAAACTACTATAATTGCTTAATATCAGATATCAATCCATGACCAAAGTGCCAGTAAAATAGTTCACTTTAATATTGATTGAGAGAACTTGCAGTCATCTAGCACTAGGCACTTTCTTTCTTTTTTTGACAGGAAGAGTTAGACAGTGAGAGAGAGAGGCAGAGAGAAAACTCTTCCTTCTGTTGGTTCACTCCCCAAATGGCCGCTATGGCTGGCGCACTGCACCAACCCGAAGCCAGAAGCCAGGTGCCTCCTCCTGGTCTCCCATGCGGGTGCAGGGACCCAAGCACTTGGGCCATCCTCCACTGCCCTCCCGGGCCATTCCTGGGCCACGACAGAGAGCGGGACTGGAAGAGGAGCAACCGGGACTAGAACCTGCTGCTCATAGGTGATGACGGCGCCGCAGGCGGAGGAATAACCAAGTGAGCCATGGCGCCGGCCAGCACTAGGCACTTTCACATATACTAGTTCATTTAAATGACTCCTATTTGGTTAGGACGATGGGACTTGTTCTGGGTGGGGTTTCTGGCTCTGGCTCCTGATTCCAGCTTCCTGGTAATGTGGACCCCAAAAGGCAGCGGTGATAGCTCAAATAATTGGGTTCCTGTCAGCCACGTGCGTGACCTGGCATGCCCGCCCCGTCTTTGATGGCATTTGGGGAGTGAACTAGCTGAGGGGAGCGCTCTTGAAAAAAATAAATTACTGCTATTTAAATCTCACCAGCCTCCTCTCATACACACACACACACACACACACACACACTTAACTCTTTCTAAAAGGTCCAAGTCTGCCTCCACCAGACGACTCACAGCTTCCAGCCTGTCTCCCACCTGGCCCCCAGCTCCTACTGCCCGGTCCCCAGCCACTTCCCAGGCAGCCGCAGGCTCCAGGTCCGGGAGCCGCTTTCCCTGGGGATCCGTTCCGGGGCCCCGCGACGCTGGCCCCACCCCGGTTGCCTAGGAGACCAGGGGCCGCTTCCCTTTGAGACAACATGGCGACGTCTGTGGGGCCGACTCCTGTGGGCACGACCCCCTTGGGGTTGACCCCAGCGGGAACCACGCCCGAGTCGGAGGTACGCCGCCCCTTTGCCATAGTCATCTGGGTCCCACGACTTCTGAGCTCCCGCACGCCCTTCCCGCGGACTCCGCGGAGGAGGCCAAGGCCTGCTGCCCCCGGCGAGGCGCCGCAGACCCGACGCGGCAGGTGTCCTGCCTGGGTTGGTGGCCCCGGGGTGGGAGTAGGAACAGTTCCGGGATTCCTTAGCGCCCGCCGCTGGGGTCCGCCTTCCAACCGGTCCAGCCTCAGCGCTCGGTTGTGCTTTAAGTCGTAAGTGGTATTAGTTCTTGGTCCCGACAGTTCTGTAGCCAAATTACCTCACAGACACATGTTTTTACCTAAGTGGAAAAAATATATATAAAGTGATCTCACACTTTAAAATGGACCGGTCCCTATTTGAGACTTGTCCAAAAGGCATCATGATCCTTGGTAATGGATTGAATAATGTTAGAAGGCGGGGCTTGGTCTTCATGTTTTTGTGTCGTTTCTCTGAACAAATACAGTATTAAGAGAAGGCAAAGGACAGCGGCGTGAAAACCGGCCTTGTGATTAAGCTGCTCATAGTCCACGTGCATTTAGAAAAGTCATTTAACCTCCTGGGACCCCTGTAATCTCCTGGGTAACATAAAGAAGTGTTCTGTGTTCTCTGTAGGCGTCTCCCCAAACCAACTCTAATAAATAGGTTTTAGGTAGCCCTACTCATACACTTAATAATCTGAGATTTTAATAAAGAACAAACATATCTGCATTCCAGATAGTGCCAAAAATATTTAGGTCTTCACACACTGAATCTATCTTACAGTTCCTAAAAAGTTTTCTTCCCCCTTTGGTTTATTTAAGGCTTTGAAGGTGAACAGTGTCTTAATTAACATTGCTTGGCTTGGCTCCCTTGTCAGTCAGTCTAAACAGCATTCTTTGTGCAGAAGACAAGTATTAGCTGCAATTTTATAAGCAAAGAAACACACAGAGCCAGTAATTCTGTGCCTGGATCAGAGATGTGCAAGTCATTCGCGGTGCAGCTCCCTCTCCTTAACTGTGTGCAGACCACTAAGGCATGTGGAAGCTCAGATGAGCCTTTTGAAATTAGCATGCGTTAAAAGTACATTGTAATGTGATAAACCAGTTAGGAAGCCAGTTACTCCCCTGTGATCTGGGATGTAAGTAATAGAATTTCAAAAGTAGCATAGGAAATTTCCTAATTAAATTGTGTTGTTTAAACATATACAAAAACTTAGAATAATGCACAATTGTCAGTGTATACATAAACATATTTATCCAAGTAGATGTTGTCTTTCTTAGTAGACTGATAATTTGGGGTATTAATGAATTTGCACTTACATTAAAAGAAAACCATATATATTTTTAAAATTGTAAAGATGCTTCATGGTTCACAGAAAAGAGACCCTAGATAATTATCTACCACCTCAGGATTGTCAGCTTGTATATTTGCTAACTTCTTGGAGGACCAGGTATTCTCTTTGACACACAATTCATGTTATTCTCAGTATCCTGAGTTGTTTATAATAGGGAAAATCACGTTGTAATTCGGACTCACTTTTCAGTACTCATCTGCCCAAGATAACACGTTAATAATGCTGCATGGTGAAAATTCTGTTTTCCATTCTGTGAAAACAAAGTTCCTGTAGTCCATGGAGCAGACAGTTGCTCTATAGAGCTCTGTCATTTATTAGAATGATGAGTCCTGCCTGCCACCCATTTGTGCTGAATGGGGATTTCAGAAGTTCTAGGGAAAAGACAGCAAGACCCTCTCTTGTAGTCTGTTCCCAAGGCTACAGCTTTTTAGTTAGATGCGGAAAGGTTTTTCTCAGATCCAAATCTTTGCAGAGTTGATCCCCTGGGACCTATTCCCTTATGGGGTCATTTCTAATAAATTCTGTTTTCAAATTGACTTAGCCAGTAGACCACTAGTCAGCTGAGCCAAGCAGTATTGTAATATTTCTTTTCCTGCCGAATCTATCAGAAATAAAGCATAAGCTTCCAGTAGTCTAAGGTTTCCCATGTGTTGTTTGTGGCCAAAATATAGAATAAAAATGATTAACCCAATCACATAGTAAGCATTTGAAAAACTGTGATAACGACTGTAATTATAATCATGGGTGGTCTGACGTATGCCAGGAAAGGTGGTAATCATAAACTAACATCTACTCTGTGAACAAGCAGACAGTAGATGCATAGCCAGGGAAATAATTTTGTCTGTGACATTGCATTAGTTTGGCTTGCCAGCTTTAGGAATGAGCATTCCAGAGTCTTTAGTAATATGCATCCCTTTAAAAGGTAAGGCCCAACTTTTGAGAGACATTTGGTATAAATGCTTAAAAACAGAGAAAATGACAAAAATCTGAAAATAAATGTTTGCTATGTATAGATGTGTAAATGAAAGTTTATACATGCATACTTAGAATTCAGTGATCAATCTTCTATTGATAGTTTGTTCACAAACTGACTTTCTCAATATATTCAAAAATGTTATTTAGGAAATATAATCACTTAAGTAGTATATAGGAGTACCTAGTTCAAGCCCCAGTTCCTTTTATTCTGATCAGTTTCCTGCCAATACACATCCTGGAAGAAGCAGGTGATGGCTCAACTATTTGAGTCCCTGCTATGCAGGTGGGAGACTCAGGATTGAATTCCAGGCTCCTGGCTATTGCATGGCCCATCCTAGCCATTGTGGGCTGTGGGCACTTGGGGAGTGAACCAGTGGTGAAAGATCTCTTTCTTTCTTCTCTCTCAGTCTCTCTCTGTTTCTCTCTCTCTCTCTCTCTCTTTCAAATAAAATGAAAATAAGTAAATAATAAATTTTAAAAAGAAATATACTTCAATTCACATCAGTGTCCTAATGGAAAATGCAAAGTATTATTTCCCAATTGCTTCTTCTGAATGATACCTGTTAAATTGTTATCACCTCTCTTAATACGTGACATTTACTCAGAATACTCGGGGCTTTATAAAGACAAGAGCACATCTAATCCTGAATAGAAAGTTGGTGTTACTTGTCATAGAGATAGTCAGTGTGGCCAGGAGACAGCAGTAGACAATTTTCTATACACTAAATGGTTCCTACAGAGTATAGAAACAGACTCAACTCCATCATTGGATGATTTGTGAGAAAACTTGGGCTCAAGGTGAGGAACGAAATGATTAGGTTTCTGTAATTTCAGTATCATTCAGGAAGTATTTATTGAAATTATGAATAATTCAATATGAATAAACACATAGTGACTAATAGTATAGTCAAACTGTAGGCTATGGGATGATGTAAATAAAAGTCTCTTAAAATATTTTTGAGAAGAAAGTGCTAATGCATCTCAAAATGTTAGTATCTAGTACTAGTATTTAGCAGGTACTGAGAACCTATGGCAACTACTAGCTGTGGGCATGGCAATAGTAACAAACATTTAGGCTTATCTTGCTCCTCACCATTTGTCTCAGGGCTGCCTTGTTTTAAAAATCTTTGTCTTTCTCTGTCTTCCATATTATCCTTCGGGTAGCAAAGAACAAATCATCTTCAATCTTTTGCTAATATTTAAAGTTTTAAGCCCAGTGCTGTGGCATAGCGGTAAAGCCACTGCCTGCAGTGCCAGCATCCCATATGGGCACCAGTCCAAGTCCCGGCTGCTCCAATTCTGATCCAGCTCTCTTGCTATAGCCTGGAAAAGCAGTGGAGGGTGGCCCAAGTCCTTAGGACCCTATACCCATGTGAGAGACCTGGAGGAAGCTCCTGGCTCCTGGTTGTGGATCGGCTCAGCTCTGGCTGTCACTGCCATTCGGGGAATGAACTAGCAGATAGAAGACCTCTCTCTTTCTCTCTCTCTGTGCCTCTCTGTAACTCTGCCTTTCAAGTAAATAAATAAATAAATAAATCATTTTAAAAAAGTTTTATTTTACTAAAATCTCTATTAAGTCTAGACTTAATTTTTTTTTATTTGACAGAGTTATAGACAGAGAGAGACAGAGAGAAAAGTCTTCCTTCCATTGGTTCACTCCCCTAATGGCTGCTACGGCTGGCGCTTCACGGATCCGAAGCCAGGAGCTGCATACTTCCTCCCGGTCTCCCATGCAGGTGCAGGGACCTAAGCACTTGGGCCACCCTCTGCTGCCCTCCCGGACCACAGCAGAGAGCTGGACTGGAAGAGAAGCAACCGGGACTAGTACCCGGCGCCCCAACCGGGACTAGAACCCAGGGTGCCGGTGCTGCAGGTGGAGGATTAGCCATGTGAGCCACAGCGCCAGCCTAAGCTTAATTTTTGATAAATGTATTTTGGGTATTTGAAATGAGGGTCTAATTTTGTTTCCTTTTAAAGGTGAGTCACCAATTATATCAGCTTCATTTATTAAGCCATTGAGAAGGGACTGACTGTTGCTATAACATTTTATATATACATGGATGTATATGAGAATGGACAAAATAATCAGTGGAAGAGATTAGAGAATACAAGAGTGTACATATGTGTATCATATATATGATATGTATGTATGTAATTTTTGTTCTCAGATTTTATGTATATATACACATGTGCATATATAAAAAGTTCATGGGAATGAATATTATGAAAAAAACTATGTTTGGATTTCAAAAAATTTTTGCACCAAAATAAACATCTTTGAATTCCAGTTTCCATGAACTCTTTAAAGTCCCCTTGTTTATGTTTACAAAACAATTTTTTGGAACCTTTATTGTCCATCGACAACCTTGTCCCTTCTTGTGTCAATATCATACCATTTTATATTCAGCTTTAAAATGTAATTTGGAAAGATTCCTCTAGGAAGTTTTCTTTCCTATTATGTTTATAACCAAATCAATTTTCCAATTTCCGTTTCTAATTAATGTCTTATAGAAAGAAAAGCATTTGACTTTTCCCCCCTAGTATTTATTTATTTATTTGAAAGGCAAAGTTTCAGAGAAAGAGGGAGAGACAGAGAGAGATCTTCTATCTGCTGGTTCACTTCCTAAATGGCTACAATGGCCAGGACTGTGCCAGGCCAAAGCCAAAAGCTTCATCTGGGTTTCAGGGACTTGGGCCATCCTCTGCTTCTTTTCCAGGTGCGTTAGCAGGGAGCAAGATTGGAAGTGCAGCAACTGAGACTCAAACCAGTGCCCATGTGGAATGCAGGGATCTGGCTACATCACAGTGCCAGCCCCAGTAACTGGCTTTCATATATTTATGTTATGCTCATATAAATCATCTTGCCAAATTTCTTTTTAACTGAAGCAATGTTAGTACACTGTCAGGTTTCTTAGGTATGCAATCATACAGTCTTCAAATAAAGATTGTTTATTTCCTCATGTTTAATATTTAAGCCAAATATTTAATTTCCTTATTCTGTTAGTTAGGACCTCTATAGTGCAATAATGTTAATGTTGCTAGTCAGAATCGCTTTATACTTCCTGGTTTTCATAAGAATGACTTTAGTATTTCACCATCACCATCCATGATAATTGCTATTGATTTTGGCAAATAATCTTCCTCATGTTTAAAATATTTTTTCCATTTGCATTTCACAGAGAGCTTTTCTGCTGGATCTATAAAGTGCTTGTTTATTATTTATTTATATAATCATAATTTGTGTAATTTAATTTGACATAAAATTGTGTTAGAGCTGTTAATGATGATCCAGCCTTGAATCTCTCAAATTAATCCTATTAATGATAAGCTTATTATTCTTTTAGTACATTGCCTGATTAAATTTTCTAGGATCTATTTTAATTACAATTTTTGCATCTGAATTTATTAGTAATTAGTAATAAATTTGGTCAGTTTAGGGTTTTGTGTGTGGACTATATGGACTTCTTAAAAACTGAACTCTCTACAGTAATTATTAGACTAGTACAGAATTTATGTGGTTTTAACTATTAGACAGAAATTCATCTGGCATGTTTGTAAAAAGTAAACTTCCAGTTGAGTTCATGTTTGGTCAAGTTCAGTTTCTCCTGTTTGATAACTTACATTTTCCCAGGAAATCATTAATTTCTTTGACATTTTCAAATGCATTTATACTTAATGTGTCATGTACTTATTTTCTTTATTCCTTATTCATATTAGCCAAGGTTCGCTTATTTTGCTCATTAAATCATCACTTCTTGCTTTTATTTTATTATTATTTCATTTATTTCCTTCCTTTTCTTGTCCTTTTTTCTTAATTGGCTCCATAGCAAGACTCACTTTGGGCACAAAGATTTAAGGAGAATTCCTATAATCCAGACAAATCACATTTTAATGCAATACCTTAAAAATGAGCATCAATGCAAAAATCCAAGATGGATCAAAATTTTAAATAAAGGCAGGATCAGTGTTGACGATTTTCCTTTTTACCTCAGGCTGCAACATGACTCAATACAGCACTGCATCTTAATTCATTTATTTTCAGGCTTGATAAAAGCCTTTCGAAATCTGGACTTTCTACACCAGGCTGTATTTCTCTGTGACTAGGAAAGCCCTCTTTAGTAATCTTTGGTGAAATCTGTTACTTTTTGAAATAAGCATTTCTTAAGAATCTTTTTTTATATAAAGCACTGTAGATACAAAGCTGCCTCTGAAATCTCACATTCTAGAAAAAAATCATATCCGGGGGTACTTCTAAAAGGTTTGTGTGAAAATGAAATTAAAAGATAATGTGCATTTTTAATGATGTTTTTGAGGACCCCTTGGACAAATGTGGGAAGTTTATGTGGCATTAGAGGGGAGAAAATTAAAGGCAAGATGATCTGACAAATAATACCAGGTTTGCAATTTATTGCTCTTGGAATAGCTGCTCAAATCCACCAGGTGGTGGAATAAAATGAGTTTGCAGTGCAGTTTAGCTTACATATTTTCCTAGTTGGAGATGTAATTTTACAGAGAAAACCATAATTACATATCCCTTTTTTTATTTTACTGATGAATTTTCTGTTACAATTTTTAACAAATCAGAATGTACTTGTTGAAAGAGTAAAGATTTTTGGCCACCTAGTATTCTTTCTAATGCAAAGCAACACAAAAACAAAGAGATCTCCTTAACAATGGATCCAGTAATACAATATAAGACAAAAGAAAAACACCCAGGTGATCATCTTAAGCTTGCAATGCTTCAGTAAAAAAATGAGGCGCTAATATTAGGCATGTTAGCTAGACTTATTCTTATCCAAGAGGTTATGATAATTGTATTCTCTTTCATATAATTCTTGTGTGACCTACTTTTCCCCTATCCAGAGATTTTTCAAATCAAATAAATTGATCTGAATGTCTTTGTAATTTGCTTTTCATGTGTATCTTTATTCATTATTAATAATGACAGCAATCTTGTGTGTATTAAAACATATTAAATGATTTTTAATATGAATCCAAATTTAGGTTAAAACGACTTGCCTTAAGTCATAAAATTAATCAGTAGTCAAACCACTGTGAGATCTGAGGCTTCTAGAAGATCTGCCTTCATCATGCTCTACCATCTAAAAATGTCACCATGTGATGAAAATGAATTCAGACCATCCGTTAGCAACCTGTGTTGACATATCAGGATCTTCAGAATTTTGAAAAGAAGTAAGATGGAATGATTGTCTCTAAGGAATTTACAATCTAATGGAATTGACAGTATAGAAATAATCGTATGTTACTGCTAATAAAAAATGTATATAACCAAAAGACACTTAAACAAATGTCCATGTATTGTGGGACAAAATACTAACTTATATAAAGACTGAGTGCAATTAATTCAATTTACAAGTATCTTAATGCCTACTAGTTGCAAGAAATTAAATTAAGTACTACAACATTTTTTCCTAATGAATTTATAATTTAATAGCGTGACCTAGTTTAGGTTAACTTACTCATCCTACAGTACAAAATATGGTTATTTCTATAGCGTATTTTATTTCTAAACTAGGCTTTTAAAAATAAAAAATATAATAATATTATATGGTGGATATTATGTCAATGAAGTATTAGGTTTTCTGTTTTTCTGATCTTGAAAAAGAGTAAGGAAAATTTGGAACATATTATGGTCAATTATCACAAACAATACGCTTGATGTTCTTATCTATTGGAACCCATTCACCTGGAAGACTCAATAATTATTTGTTGAATTGAAAAACATTTGACTGCTTGTGTTCCCAAATCCTACAATCCTGGATTTTAGTGTAGTTCTTAGTATCCCCTTCCATATTCCATTCTCAGCTGTTCTCTTCATGCTCTGGATTTGGACAATCTCATCCACTCTTACACTTGCAGTTGATTCCTGAATCAGCATCTTTAAGCTTGAGTTTTCTGACTTCAGCATTTCTAATTGACCTCTAAACATCTCTTCTTTGCTATCTGCAGTTTGTCTTAAACTCAACCACTGAAATAAAACTCACCGTCTTGCCTCTGTGAAACTAGCATCACCTTCCAGCCTTGTTTCTAGTGGTCTAACAGCGGTGTCATGTACAGTTGTGCAGGTTATGCTCTGAAGAGTACCTGCACAACATCTTGTAGTTTGTGAGCACTCAATAAGTAATGTTGAATCATCAAGTTCTTCTACAATTTGTTCAGAATGCCCACTTCCTAGCCAAGTTCAGTTCAGTCATATCACGGTGAACTGTGAACTCCTTGACATTTCCAGAGCGTGTCCCTGACAGTTCTGTCTTGGTTACAGCAGTGTTACAGATTCATTCACCTGGAGCATTAGCCGTGTCGATCCAGAAGACCCATTTCTGGACCTCCTCTCTACAAATTTGCTTTGTCCTATCCTTGTCCTTGTCTTTCCTTTTAGACCAAAAGCCACATTTATTGTGCCACTCTTACCATGTTCCTCTTTTTTTAATTTTAAAGAAATTTTGTGTATTTCTCTCACTAGATACTAAGTTTCTGGAGGTTAGCAAGGATCTCCTGCTTGTCTTTACCTCCTCTTCAGTCCCAAGTTCAAGGATGAATATGTAGATATTCAATAAATAGTTGTAGAATTGAAAACCATCACCCAGTTCCCATATACTCCAAAAATAGATCTACCAGCCACTTGTATTTTCAGAGGAGAGGTACCATTACTTAAAAATGGAAAAGAGAAATGCTTATCTAGGAGACTATTGTTTTTAATTTTTTTCCTAACAACAATTAGACCACAAGAAAAACAAACTTGGGGGCCGCTGCTGTGGCATAATGGGTTAAAGTGCTGCCTGCAACACTTACATCCCATGTGGATGCCAGTTTGAGTCGTGGCAGCTCCGCGTCCCATCCTGCTCCCTGCTAATGTGCCTGGTAAAGCAGTGGAAGGTGGAGCAAGTACTTGGACCCCTGCTCCCCATGTGGGAGACCCAGATGAAGTTCTGGTTCCTGGCTTTGGCCTGTCCCAGCCTTGGCTGTTGCAGCCATTTGGGGAGTGAACCGGCAGATAAGATTCTCTCTTTCTCTCTCTCTCTCTCTCTCTCTCTAGCTATGCCTTTCAAGTAAATAAAATAAATCTTAAAAAAAAAGAAAATTTGATATCATTGTTTTTAATAAGTAAAACATGACTAAAATAACTCATGCCACTTCTTTTTTTTCTAGAGAGATGATGAATTCCAGGAGCATGAGAAGATTCTCTCTCCAGATTTTCTTTCAGTTGCTCAAATCACTGATTTGCTAACTGAGGACGTAGCTGGAGTTCAAGCGTAAGCACATCAATATTACAATCAAATATAGAACAGTTGTAGTTCTGCACCTATAAATCAATATGATATATTAATACATATTTTAAGCTTTTTAACGTTTTTATTGTGTATGAAATATATCAAGGCTCTGGAACACAGTATTCTCAAATAACTGGCTTTTTGCTCTGTTTAACAGTCTTCTTTGTGGGAAAAATACATTGCAAGCAAGCTTGTTAATACCAACCAAGGGTAGGGACTTATTGTTAAAAGCAACGTCTAGCAAATGCTGTGTTCTGTTTCATTTCTCTTTCATTCATAAATCTGTCAATATGCACAAGAACTTAATGGGCTTACATCCCTTCCTAAGAAGGGTGAGTAATGGTTTTGATATTAATAGTGAATATATTTTATTTTTCTGTAAATTCTGAATATTAGTCATCTTCCTGTGATTTTATCGGAAATTTAGCTATACTGTGCATGTACACTGCTTAAAAATGTGAGTATAACTGAATTTATAGGCAATAACTCTTAACACATGTACAGTAGATCTTTTACCTATAACTCTATGGTCAGATACTTAAACCAACCCAATTTCCTGAAAGTTGTTTGTATAATCACGCATTTGAAAAATTCTCACTTTAAAATGGGAGCCTAAGTGGACCTCACGTGTGGAGAATGGGGATGATGCGAGGTTCTGGACCACGACATCCTGGTGTCAGGTCTCTGCGGGCCAGCCCCTGGGACACACGGAGGGTGCTGTGGGCCATAGTGGACAAATAGAAAATTACTCTGGCAGTGGTTATCATTGGCAAATCTTACAAATATTATGAATCAGAGGCAACTTAATACTGAAAGGCAGTATGACAGATGTACTGGCTGGAACATTGACAGGCCTTTCACAAAATGCACCGCATCCTTGCTGCTTGCAGACTCTGCTAGAAATTGATGATCTGCGATGGGCTGTATTGCCTACTATCTGCAGCTTTACGAGTACTACTCAGTGAGTTAAAAATTGCGCAGACGGAAACAAGTATCTCCAAATTGTTTTAACATTTTTGTAGTAATCAGTGTTCTTTGGGAATTCTGACTGGTGGTGAAAATCAATAAGTAAAATGCGATCATTGTGTTACTAACACTGATTATTTATATCTTTATGTAAAATATAATTTTACATTTCCAGGTCACCTTAAACGCTATACTTTATTACAATGCAAAATAATAGGTATTGAATAATAAACAAAATAATACAGTGCAAGTAACAGATATATAGTACACTTCACAATTTATTTGTACCAAGTATTAAGTAAAATATGTCATATTAAATACAAATAATATTTTACTTGTATATATCACATTGTAAGTTGTGCTGTATTTCATTCTTTGTGTGATTTTTAAAAAATTACTGGGTCTCTTTTGTTGTTAAATACCTAAATCATGAAAATATTCTCAATTTTCAGAAGATAAGGTCTAGGACAAAATACCTGATAAAAAAAAAAAAGGAGATACAGAAGTTAGCACTATACAAACAGCCATGTTCTGTAGCAGACTTTTTTTTTTTAATATTTTTTAAATTTATTTGACAGATAGAGTTAGACAATGAGAAAGGTCTTCCTTCCATTGGTTCACCCCCCAAATGGCCGCTATGGCCAGTGCTACGCCTATCTGAAGCCAGGAGCCAGGCACTTCTTCCTGGTCTCCCATGCGGGTGCAGGGGCCCAAGCACTTGTGCCATCCTCCACTGCCCTCCCGGGCCACAGCAGAGAGCTGGACTGGAAGAGGAGCAACTGGGACTAGAACCCAGCGCCCATATGGGATGTCGGCGCTGCAGGCGGGTGATTAACCAAGTGAGCCATGGCGCCAGCCCCTATAACAGACTTCTTATTCTGTCTCATTGATATGGAAATCACATGAAGTAACCTCAGATTTTAGAACATCATTCTAAATAAATATTTGTTATATTAAGAATAATTTCTTTGTAAAATAGTGTTCTGGATGTTCTTTATTTGATTTTTGGTAATAGTAATACCAAAATATTTGCAATCAACCATTCACTTTTGATTTAAAATTAAAAGTATTGTTATAAAAAGAATTATATACTTTTCAAAACAGTAATTTTAGTTATCCTGTCAGAACTCAATACATTTTCCTACTTTTAAAAATTAAAAACTGACCTCCATGAAAGCAGCCAACCACATGAAATATTAAATTATTGTTAGAGCATATTTCTGGAATATACTTTAAAAACAGTTAAATGTCTGGATACGTTTCTTATGATCTCTCAACTGTTATCAAAAATAAATATTTTAATGTGACCCTGATTTTATTAACAGATCCACCCAAATCTTCTTTTTAAAAAGATAGGAACCAAATTGAAGATAACTACATAAACACAGAAATAATACTGAGACATCTTTTAGTAACCTTTCTATACCTGGGTCTCCATGAGCTGTTGTTTAACTTTTGCCTTAAGATATATTTCTGCATGTCATCATATTTAAGTAAAAGGAACTTCACTTTCAAAACCATGTAACAAGAATATAATATTCTCACTGGAGCTCTTATTGAAACAAAGTAGATAGTTACATCACCTATCACTATAGCAAAACTTCTGGGAACACAGTTAAGCGCCTTCCTCATTTCCTACATTCTCTCACAGCCATCTGGCTGCCCATCCCTGTTCTATTCTCTTATACCCAGAGAAAAGGTTTGCAAATTTGCCAGTAAAATACAAGGAAATTTTGCATTCCAACTGCAGCAGTGTCTTCTCCAAATGCCTTCTTGCATTATCTTCACGTGGAGTGAAATGACCGAAAAAGGGGGTAGAAATGATAAATACTTAGCCTGTAGTTCAAGTTAAAGGGGAAGATTCAAATGGTACTAGGGAGAGTGAAGGAGGGAACATGGAGGAGAGCAAAGGTGGAGGGGGATCAAAAAGATTTCCCCCAAATATTCCTACGCAATAAGTAGCTGCCTTCATTTAAACACAACTAAGTATTGACAAATGGAAGCTAACAGCAAAGAATATATGGAAATATTCAGGTCAAATATTAAACGGCAAAAAGTACTATACAGATGGCAGATGCAGAGTACACTTAGAAGGAAAATTAACTGCTAGAAATAAAGTGTGAGGCAAAATATGATCATTAAAAAGGACATCAATTCTACAATATAAGAGAGTAAAGAAGAGGCAAAAATATGTAACTAAGCTTTTAGAACTAAGGAAAGAACTAAGATTAAAGAATAAAAGTCATGGCTTGCACCATGGCTCACTTGGCTAATCCTCTGCCTGTGGCGTCGGCACCCCGGGTTCTAGTCCCAGTTGGGGCACTGGATTCTGTCCCGGTTGCTCCTCTTCCAGGCCAGCTCTCTGCTGTGGCCCAGGAGGGCAGTGGAGGATGGCACAAGTGCTTGGGCCCCTGCACCTGCATGGGAGACCGGGAGGAAGCACCCAGCTCCTGGCTTCAGATCAGCGCAGCACTGGATGTGGCTGCCATTAGGGGAGTGAACTAGTGGAAGGAAGACCTTTCTCTCTGTCTCTCTCTCTCACTGTCTAACTCTGCCTGTCAAAAAAAATAAAAAATAAAAATAAAAGAATAAAAATCATGTTGAACTTAGTTTTCTGAAAATCAAGTCAGTAATGTGGAAGATAAATTTTAGAAAACTTTAAAAATGCTGATTGAAGTAATTACTAGATATTGGAACATATATCTGGCATAATGAATCAGAAAACAATTTAACCTTCAAAAAGAAAGGCTTGTTTTTAATATTTTAGTAGAATGAAATTTTGTGTGTTATCTTATCTCTGGGATAAATCAAGTCACCTATTTAGGAAAATAATCAAGGAAGCCAGGATCTGCCTTAGAAATGTTAGATAGCAGTACTCAGTAGAGCAACAGGTCACCAAAATTTAGGAGTCAAAGATTGATTCCAAAATAAAATACTAATTTGTGTTATGGTTTAGCTGTAGTGACAAGAAGACCTTATAACATGAGGACACTTCAAAAAAATTCCTAGAAAAATACAATTAGATGATGTATTTATTTTTGGTGCAAAAAGTTTTGAAATCTGTGCAGATGTGGAGTCTTCAAAGAGTTTATGTAAAATGCAAATAATAAAACTGCACGGATTTCAAAATTTTTGCGCCAAAATAAATGTATCTTTTAATTCCATTTCTATGAACTTTTTGAAGTACCCTTATATATACAAAAACTCAGAAAATATAGTATACAAGGATCTTATTGAACAACCTACCTTATAGTATATCTAAAAGATGAATCAGTTCATTTTTGAATTCAAAACAACAGAGCTGCCAATGATAAACTGTTACATAAAAAACATGGCCGTTATCATGAGATTCATTTAAAATTCAAGTCTAATAAGGTAATAACAGACTGAAATAATTACTTTAGTGCATATCAACAAAAACAGGTGTGCAAATGAGAAAAAAAGTAGTTAATTTCCTCCTCTCACCTAAATAAAATTGAATTTCAGGTAGCAAAAGGTTTTTAAAAAGTATCATGAATATAGAATATCACTATTGCCCAGTATATACACAAAAAAATTCTTATAAATGCATAAAAAAGAAAAGCATCAAATAAAATTTAAAAAAAAGAAATCTTGGGAATGGGCATTTGGCATGACAATTGGTGTACCTCCATTCCATATCAGATTACCTGTGGTTGGATCCTGGTTCCAACTCTTGACTCAAGCTTCCTGCTAATGCATACCTGGGAGGCAGTGATGGTGGTCCAAGTTGTTGAGTCCCTACTGCCCCTGTGGTAAGAGTCCTAGATTGAGTTCTCAGCTCCTGACTTCCGCCTAGGCTAATCCTGGTTTTGCTGGCAAGGATAGGAGCTCTCTGTCACTGTCCTTTCCCTCTCCCCTCCCCCACCTCTCAGACTAAAAAAAGAGAAGAAATTATAAAAAAACAAAACAAACAAACAAATACCAAAATCCAGTCTGACAAGCAAAGAAATACACAAAAGATGGTAAATTTTCTATTAGATTAATAGATATTAAAATTATGGACAAAATCCAAATGAGATCAGAGTATAAGAATGGTCCTTTTCATATGTAGGTTTGTAGGTAAGGAAAGACACTGAAACCCATTTGGGAAGATATGTTCTATTTTCAGCTTTATTTAGAGTGCTTTCTTACTGATAAAACTGGACAATGCATGAAGACTTTCCACATCTATTCCCCTGTTGAATACTAACCTATTTTTTAATTTATATTGATTGCAAACTTTTTCCCATCCTGCAGCTTTTCTTTTCAATTTTGGTTAATTGTCTTTGGTCACTCAGAAGTGTTTTGTCTTTTTTTTTTTTTTTAAGATAGAACAATGTATTTATCTTTTTCTTTATGATTTGTATTTTGGTGTGATGTTTCAGAAATTTTGGCCCACCCAAACGTATATATTTGTATATTAAAAGTATATAATGTTCACTATTGATATTTAGATTTTTAATCCATTTGAACTTTGTTTTAATGTATTAGGTGAGGTACTATTTTAGTTTCCAGCGCCATTTTTAAATAGTCCATGGGTCCTTCACTGATTTGAAATACTACCTCTGTCATACACCAGGTTCCCATATACATTATCTGCTGAGTTGTATGCTTGCCAAGATGTACCAAAGTGGGTCATGTAATCACATAATAAACTGATCATGTTGACTTAAAAGATAAGTGCACACATTCACACATATGAAAATACTTCAGGAAGTTCTTGGAAAATTAAGAGTCATTTATTTTGGTGCAAAAAATTGAAATCCATTCATAGTTTTTTTATAATAGTCATCTGCGAGCTTTTTGAAGGCCTCTCCTCTTGCATGCACATATATAATATGTGTAAAATACCACATAGCATGAAATTCAGAGATAGGTTCACTTCACAATTGGTTGAGTCAAAGCCTGAATAGCATTATCAAGAAATGAGGCTTAATCTCAGGTTTGATTTTTCTTGTGATTAGAAGATGGCTTCCAATAACACTTAAAGCTACTTGTTTACTTTAAAAATTTTTGCTCAACAGAATGAAATAATCTTCATTCTTAGTTATGAATTATTATGAACAATTTACGAGAGTGCCTAACTCAGGACAATTAATACTGTAGAGCAATACCACATACTAAATGGAATGATGCATCATTATGGGAAAGGAGTGAGATTACAGTAACTGGCTTAGAATAGTCAGACGTCATTTTTGAGTTTGAGATTTATCATCTGGTTAAACACATATGGACAATAGCTTTATTTATTCTGAAACTGTTTAATCCTTCTCTGATTATTACTTTGATCACCCAATATATTTCAACATTATGAATAAAAAGAACTTACTTTTTTAAGCTTTCATTATAAAGTTATTGCATATATCCTTCCCTACCCCCATCACTGCAATCACATATGAGCAATAAGGAAATACCAGTTCTGTCTTTATCAAAACAAGGAGAATGTTGAAAGGCCAAACCACAAAATACAAAGATGACTGCTGTGATCATTACAGATCAACTAGAAGTACAGGAGAAAATTTAAGATATGCATAGTTACAGATCTTAGGACGAGCCGGAAAGCATTTATTTTCCCACAGGGAGAAAATCCTGAAGGGTCAATCCAAGAACATTTGTTTATAACAGCAGGACCAAGTAGTACAGATTTGGAGTAGATACACTCTGTACCACAGGAAGTAGATTGTTTTATCATGCTAAAGAGAAGCTATCCCTACTTTTTTTTCTTTGTTTTCCCTTGCTAGTTGAGGAAAAAAGTAAAGGATAGAATAATTAAAATAAAGTTACTTCGAATAGAAAACGCCTACTGGTTTGTAACATTGGCATGTCCCCATTCTCCAGTATGTTTCCTGAAAGTGGCTATGTAAGGACAGAAACTCACTTCAGGCAAATGTATTGTGGGAAGAATAAATATCAGATAAAAAAGGAAAAAAACACCAAAAAGATGTAGCTGTGAACAGACAAAGCTCAAATATCAAAATACAAAGCTCAAAGATCAATATTTTGTCATGAATTAAAATATGAAACAGTCACAAAGCAAGGATTTAGAAGCTGAGAAAAGGGACAATAAGAAGTAAAAGGTTTTAAAGCAGTGTTTTAAAAATGAGTAGAAAGGGAAATATCTTTCAGAATTTGAGGTGAAATTTATATAGCCCAAATAGCATTGTTTGAAACATACTGAAGGGGCTGACACTGTGGCTCAATAGGCTAATCCTCCGCCTGCGGCACCGGCACACAGGGTTCTAGCCCCGGTCTTCCTGTCCAGCTCTCTGCTGTGGCCTGGGAAAGCAGTAGAAGATGGCCCAAGTCCTTGGGTCCCTGCACCCATGTGGGAGACCCAGAGGAGGCTCCTGGCTCCTGGCTTTGGATCCGTGCAGCTTCGGCCGTTGTGGCCATTTGGGGAGTGAACCAGTGGGTGGAAGATCTTTCTCTCTGTCTCTCCCTCTCACTGTCTATGACTCTTATCTCTAAAATAAATAAATAAAAAATATTTAAAAAAAAAAAAGAATGAAGGAAGAAGAAAGAAAGGACAAAGTGCTCTTTCTTATTTTTAATGTGTGTGTTTCTCTTTTGAAAGTTTTTTTGTACTTAAGGATTTTGATATAACAAAATACTTTTAGACTACAAGTTTTATGTAATTTCAACTTAAGAAAAATGTGTTTCTAAAACTTAGGAAAGGACCTGCTTGGTATTTAATCTGATTTGTTTGAATCCTGCTTTTTGTTACAGAAAACTGGGGATGTTTTTGAAATTCAAGAATGTTCAAACTTGTTTAAAGGATGCCATTATACTTGATTATTATGTGTCTGGATTTTTGTGGGCTAGAGGAATGGAGTTTTCTACTGTTCAACATTCAAAATTTATGACTTTACTAGATATGTTACTTCAAAATCTTAAAAGTAAGTATACTAGTCTCTTTTTTTAAGAAAGGGAAGTGTAGTCCTCTATCTAAATTAATATTCTTATGCAGAAATCCCTGATTTTATTGTACATCCTTTGATGAAAATTATAGGTTTCTAGTAGTTATTGCAAAGATACAGTTCATATCCTCACTGAGTTGTAAAACCCAAATAATACTTAATGAGACTGAAGTTCTCTTAATTAATTTTCCAAGGAAATGTTAATTTAATTTAAACACCTTAGTTCTACTCACCCTCTAAATATTTGGGAACTCTTGAATATTCTTGTAATTTTCTGTAAATCTAAAACTACTCTGAAATTAAAAGCTTATCATTGAGTATATTCCCTAAAATGGAATATAATTCACTATAAACTTAGGAAAGAGTGAGGAAGCTTCCAATGCAGGGTATGACAGACTATATATTGTTACTGATTAAAGCAACATGCAGGATTGCGTACTTTTGTTTACTAAAAACACAAAGGTAGAAATTTATACATTTCATGTGATATATAGACAAATAATGTAAGAATGCAGAATTAAAGTGACTCATGGAAAACAGTCATGTGGGCCACCAAGGTAGAAGAAGCCTTTATAATAGATGATTGACAGATCAATAGATAAATAATATTCATGTGCACAAGAATATATCACCTAAGGAAAAAAACTAAATTTTTTAAAAGAGAATATATGAGCTAGAGAGTCCTGAACTTTGTTTTCTTTGAGCTGAGTATTCATAAACTAGAAACAGAATAAAGGAACCTAAAACACCCTGGTTCTCACATTCCAAACTTCAGATGCTATTTCCATTGTAAAACTTTTCTGTAACTTATAATTGAATCAAGGATATTTCCTTTAGGTGAAACTTTATATGGTTGATATTTCAGAAGTGAATTTCTAAAACTTGAGCAGGATCTATCCAGCTACCCATAAACCATGAGAGAGTGAAAGTACATATTTGGCCTGCGCCGCGGCTCACTAGGCTAATCCTCCGCCTTGCAGCACCGGCACACGGGGTTCTAGTCCCTGTCGGGTGCCGGATTCTGTCCCGGCTGCCCCTCTTCCAGGCCAGCTCTCTGCTGTGGCCAGGGAGTGCAGTGGAGGATGGTCCAAGTGCTTGGGCCCTGCACCCCATGGGAGACCGGGATAAGTACCTGGCTCCTGCCATCGGATCAGCGCTGTGTGCCGGTCGCAGCGCGCCGGCTGCGGCGGCCATTGGAGTGTGAACCAACAGCAAAAGGAAGACCTTTCTCTCTGTCTCTCTCTCTCACTGTCCACTCTGCCTGTCAAAAATTAAAAAAAAAAAAGAAAAGAAAAGAAAGTACATATGTAAAACCTAAGAAGAAAAAAAGCAAGAATTCTAATTCTTTTTTCTGTCAGTTAAAAAAAAAAGAAAGAAAATCCCCTTAAAACTTTTTTTTTTTTTTTGACAGGCAGAGTGGACAGAGAGACAAAGAGAAAGGTCTTCTTTTTCTGTTGGTTCACCCGCCTAGTGGCCTCTGTGGCCGGCGCACCAAGGCCGGCACACCTCGCTGATCTGAATTGAGGAGCCAGGTGTTTCTCCTGGTCTCCCATGCGGGTGCAGGGCCCAAGCACTTGGGCCATCCTCCACTGCACTCCCTGGCCACAGCAGAGAGCTGGCCTGGAAGAGGGGCAACCGAGACAGAATCCGGCACCCCAACTGGGACTAGAACCCGGTGTGCCGGCGCCGCAGGCAGAGGATTAGCCTAGTGAGCCATGGCGCTGGCGCAGTGGTTAACGCCCGGCCCTGAAGCGCTGGCATCCCATATGGGCGCCAGTTCGAGATCCAGCTGCTCCACTTCCTGTCCAGCTCTCTGCTATAGCCTGGAAAATCAGTAGAAGATGGCCCAAGTCCTTGGGCCCCTGCATCCACGTGGGAGACCTGGAAGAAGCTCCAGGCTCCTGGTTTCGGATCGGCACAGCTCAGGCCGTTGGGGCCATCTGGGGAGTGAACCATCGGATAGAGGACCTCTCTCTCTCTCTCTCTCTCTCTCTGCCTTTCCTATCTCTGTGTAACTCTGACTTTCAAATAAATAAATCTTTTAAAAAAGAAAACTTTCAACTTAGCAAGTGGTGGTCAACATCAAGAAAGAGTGTGCAGTTAGCCAAGTGTGCCAGAGGATGAGCTGTGGTGTGTATACCCTTAAACTCAGGTGAAATGGAGTTCTCAACACAGTGAGCCCTCCCGTTCAGCAACAATTTAACAGGCAAAAGACTAGAGGTGCAGGCCAGGCTGGCAGTGGTAGTGTGGTCAGTTCAGTGTGGGAGCTGAACAGGATTTTGATCTGATCCTTGTCTCAAACTTATGCTGCATATCTAAAAGGCTTTCTACAGACAACCCACATAGAATCAAGTTGGATCAACTTAATAGTTTATGGAACATAGGAATTGCAGAGTTATGTGTACAGGCAGTTCTCCATATCCATGAGTTACATTGGTGAGTCAGTCAACCATCATCTGATAATATTTGGGGAAAAAAATGCACCCATACTGAACAAGTACCGATTTCTTTCTTGTCATTATTCTCTTAACAGTACAGAATCACAACTATTTATATAACATTTACATAATGTTAGATAGTATAAGAAATCTAGAGAAAATTGAAAATGTATGGAAAGGTTGTACAGGTTATATGCCAGTACCACTCCATGCTAATGAAGAGACTTGATTATCTGGATTTTGACATTTCTAGGGGGTCCTGGAGTCAATCCTGTGCAAATACCAAAGGATAACTGCGTTTATTTTGGAGTCTAGTTTTTCTAAGGCCTGGACAAGTACAAGCTGTAGAGTATTAGATCAGCTTGATATTTGGCCTTTTTCCAGATCCAGAGGGCTACATTATTTTTCCTTTAGAGAAGGTGAATATTAGTACCTACAGAATATTTTGTAATTCCTATGATGCTACATTATTTTTCCTTACGTAGGAATAATGACAAATAGTATTTATGCAGGATTAACTTGGCCCACTCACAGTGTTTTAGAAATATTATTTTATGTAATTCACATTCAAATTTACGATAAAAATAAGTAAATTCAGAGAGATTAAATAACTCCTTAAGATCACAAAAGGTGAACTCCAGCAAGTGAGAATCCATCCTCCTGACCACAACACCATCTGTGCCCGTCCTTGGACTGGATTCTAGGAAGCACTGTACATACTTTTTGGTTACCAAGAGTATATGTGAATTCTTATTTCATCTTCACAACAGCACTATAATATTGAAAATAGATATTATTCTCATTTTGCAGATGAAGAAAATGAGAGTCAGGTCACCTAGCAGGTAAGTGTCAGGTATAAGGCACCATCTGAGTCTTCTATTTAATTCTAAGTATAGTGTGTTCTTTCATTACACTAAATTTTCAAGAATAAAATTTATTTCTAGCAGCTGTTAGTAGTTAAGTGGTTTAATATTTCATATTTTAATCACATCACTAAATGTAATTTTTAAAAGAGCAAATATTTCAGTTAGACATGTGAAATAACTCCCCAAATTTTTTAAAGCAATTATCTATAGAAAGACATTAGACATTAGAAAAACACTTTTAGGAAGCTTTTTTTCAGGATAAGAAAATAGTCATATAAGTCTAATTTTGTGTTTGATAAGTAATTCCATCAAACTATAATCAGTTATATAAGAATTTTTTTCCTCTGCATCTCTAATTAATATCATTTTATTAATTAAATGATTCATACTTGCCATTCATTTATGAATTACATTTATCCAACAGATTTTTCATTTCTGAAGTTACTTCCACTATTTTCAAAAGAAATTTATCATGGAAAAAGAAATGTACAGTCGATTTGAATTCCACTTAGAATTGCATGGGAAAGCCTGATAATCCAGCAACAATTTAGTGTATTGACTTAAAAGATGAGCTAGAAGAAGACTATGAGAAATGGACTGATTGGAATTCATTAAACTAAATTTTACTTGTTCTTTTAGTTCTTTTTAGTAATATACATCTTTATATAATCAGTATTTCTTCCCAGTTCCTACAAGTAGGAAAGAATCTAGACTAAATAAATGACAACTTTGTGTTCATAATACCTTTCCCAAATTTTAATCTACTACCATTTTATTAACAACTTTGGTTTTTGGAATATCCAGCATTTACATCCCAGAGGAAAAGACTGCACTCCAAAAGCTGCTAGGTCCAACAATCAGCATATATTCTCACAACTTGTTTTATCTGCACACACAACCCACCTCCTAAAAACTCCACTCTGTTACAGAAAGTGGCAAGTTCACTGATGGTTTCCTGAGAGAGACAGAGATTTGGTTGGTAGAGTTCTCAGTGAGCAGCACTACTCCCCAGAAGCCTCATCCAGGATCCTCATTTTCATTCTTTTCCCCACTCACTGCCCGCCCCCAGTCAGCCCAGTCTCAGTTTCTCCAGAGCTTTTGAACTCTCCACCTCCAGCTGCCACAGTTCTATGTCCTTACACCCTGCACTTGTTAGCAAGCAAAGGACCTTCTGTCCAGTTACCTGAATGCATTCTGCATGGAGAGAAGTGGGGGATGATGTCTATGTGGATCACAAATAAGGCTTTTCCTGCCACATGGAAAAATGACTATAATTTTAAAAAAACACAAAAGATATGTTAATTTTTTAGCACATACGTGCTCCGATTTTTTAATATTAGAACAAAAGCCTACAAGTGCTCTGTCAAATTGCTGCAGATATCTCTACATTTATTTCTTTCAATTTCCATCTTTGTTGTGGTCTGGGTCCAGGGCCACACTCAGGTGGTTACGGTGTCCTCCCGGTTGTCTGTTTTGCTCATCAGCATCCAAGGTCAGACCTGGTGAGCAGATCTCTTCTCTGTGGCAGCTTTTTTTTTTTTTTTAACTTTTATTTAGAATATAAACTTCCAAAGTACAGCTTATGGATTTCAATGGCTTCCCCCCATAACTTTCCTCGCACCCGCAACCCTCCCCTTTCCCACACCCTCTTTCCTTCCATTCACATCAAGATTCATTTCCTTCCTTCCTTCCTTCCTTCCTTCCTTCCTTCCTTCCTTCCTTCCTTTCTTTCTTTCTTTCTTTCTTTCTTTCTTTCTTTCTTTCTTTCTTTCTTTCTTTCTTTCTTTCTTTCTTTCTTTCTTTCTTTCTTCTTTTTTGACAGGCAGAGTGGACAGTGAGAGAGAGAGACAGAGAGAAAGGTCTTCCTTTGCCGTTGGTTCACCCTCCAATGGCCGCCGCGGCTGGCGCACTGCGGCTGGCGCACCACGCTGATCCGAAGCCAGGAGCCAGGTGCTTCCCCTGGTCTCCCATGGGGTGCAGGGCCCAAGCACTTGGGCCATCCTCCACTGCCCTCCCTGGCCACAGCAGAGAGCTGGCCTGGAAGAGGGGCAACCGGGACAGAATCCGGCGACCCGACTGGGACTAGAACCCGGCGTGCCGGCACCACAAGGCGGGGGATTAACCTAGAGAGCCACGGCGCCGGCCTTCAAGATTCATTTTCAATTCTCTTTATATACAGAACATCAGTTTAGCATATATTAAGTAAAGATTTCAATAGTTTGCACCCACATAGAAACACAAAGTGAAAAATACTGTTTCAGTACTAGTTATAGCACTAAATCACAATGTACAGCACATTAAGGACAGAGATCCTACATGAGAAGTAAGTGCACAGTGACTCCTGTTGTTGACTTAACAAATTGACACTATTATTTATGGCATCAGTAATCACCGTAGGCTCTTGTCATGAGCTGCGAAGGCTATGGAAGCCTTTTGAGTTCACCAACTCTGATCATATTTAGACAAGGTCGTAGTCAAAGTGGAAGTTCTCTCCTCCCTTCAGAGAAAGGTACCTCCTTCTTTGATGACCTGTTCTTTCCACTGGGATCTCACTCGCTGAGTTCTTTCATTTAGGTAATTTATTTATTTATTTATTTATTTATTTTTTGCCAGAGCGTCTTGGCTTTCCATGCCTGAAATACTCTCATGGGCTTTTCAGCTGGGTCTGCATGCCTTAAGGACTGATTCTGAGGCCAGACTGCTGTTTAGGACATCTGCCATTCTATGAGTCTGCTGTGTATCTCGCTTCCCATGATGGATCGTTCTTTCCCTTTTTAATTCTATCAGTTAGTATTAGCAGACACTATTCTTGTTTATGTGATCCCTTTGACTCTTAGACCTATCATTATGATCAATTGTGAACAGAAATTGATCACTTGGACTGGTGAGATGGCATTGGTACACGCCACCTTGATGGGATTGAATTGGAATCCCCTGGTATGTTTCTAAATCTACTGTTTGGGGCAAGTCAGCTTGAGCATGTCCCAAATTGTACATTTCTTCCCTCTCTTATTCCCACTCTTATATTTAGCAGGGATAACTTTTCAGTTAAGTTTCAACACTTAAGAATAACTGTGTATTAATTACAGAATTCAACCAAGAGTATTAAGTAGAACAAACAAAAAAAACTACTAAGAGGGATAATGTATTAAGTTGTTCATCAACAGTCAGGGCAAGGGCTGATGAAGTCACCGTTTCTCATAGTGTCCATTTCACTTTAACAGGTTTCCTTTTTGGTGCTCCGTTAGTTGTCACTTTGGCCTGGCTTATTTCATTCATCATAATGTTTTCCAGATTCCTCCATTTTGTTGCAAATGACTAGGTTTCATTGTTTTTGACTGCTGTGTAGTATTCTCTAGAGTACATGTCCCATAATTTCCTTATCCAGTCTACTGTTGATGGGCATTTGGGTTGGTTCCAGGTCTAAGCTATTGTGAATTGAGCTGCAATAAACATTAATGTGCAGACAGCTTTTTTGTTTGCCAATTTAATTTCCTTTGGGTAAATTCCAAGGAGTGGGATGACTGGGTTGAATAGTAGGGTTATATTCAGGTTTCTGAGGAATCTCCAGACTGACTTCCATAGTGGCTTTACCAGTTTGCATTCCCACCAACAGTGGGTTAGTGTCCCTTTTCCCCCACATCCTCTCCAGCATCTATTGTTGGTAGATTTCTGAATGTGAGCCATTCACACCAGGGTGAGTTGGAACCTCATTGTGGTTTTGATTTGCATTTCCTTGATTGCTAGTGATCTTGAACATTTTTTCATGTGCCTGTTGGCCATTTGGATTTCTTCTTTTGAAAAATGTCTGGTTAGGTCCTTGGCCCATCTCTTAAGTGGGTTGTTTGTTTTGTTTTTGTGGAGTTTCTTGATCTCTTTGTAAATCCTGGCTATTAATCCTTTATCTGTAGCATAGTTTGCGAATATTTTCTCCCATTCTGTCGGTTGCCTCTTCACTCTCCTGACTGTTTCTTTTGCAGTACAGAAAGTTCTCAATTTGATTCAATCCCAATAGTTGATTTTGGCTTTGAATGCCTGCACCTCCAGGGTCTTTTCCAGGAAGTCTTTGCTGGTACCTATATCTTGAAGGGTTTCTCCAATGTTCTCTAATAACTTGATGGTGTTGGGTCATAGATTTAGGTCTTTAATCCACGTTGAGTGGATTTTTGTGTGAGGTGTAAGGTAGGGGTCTTGCTTCATGCTTCTGCACGTGGAAATCCAATTTTCCCAGCACCATTTATTGAATAGACTGTCCTTGCTCCAGGAATTGGTTTTAGATCCTTGATCAAATGTAAGTTGGCTGTAGATGTTTGGATTGATTTCTGGTATTTCTATTCTGTTCCATTGGTCTATCCATCTGTTTCTGTACCAGTACCATGCTGTTTTGATTACAACTGCCCTGTAGTATGTCCTGAAATCTGGTATTGTGATGCCTCCGGCTTTGTTTTTGTGGTAAAAGATTGCTTTAGCTATTTAAGGTCTCCTGTGCCTCCATATGAATTTCAGCATCATTTTTTCCAGATCTCAGAAGAATGTCTTCAGTATTTTGATTCGTATTGCATTGAATCTGTAAATTGCTTTTGGGAGAATGGACATTTTGATGATATTGATTCTTCCAATCCATAAGCATGGAAGATTTTTCTATTTTTTGGTATCCTCTTCTATTTCGTTTTTTAAGATTTTGTAATTCTCATCATAGACAGTCTAAAAGTTAAGTCTGAGATTTTTGATGTGTACCTACTTCTTTCTCAGCTGGACAAATGCCATAGAAGACCGTTTTGGTGTTTGTTTGTAGCCATAAGAATAGACTAGAATCATTGAGTTGTTGGATTTTGGCGATGCTGGCAAAGCCATGTCATGCTTTTTGAGCTTTCATCTGGCTCCCTCCAACATCACTGGGCACTTGAGAAACAGCTTACATGAGTTGTAAGTCTGTAACCATGGAAAATTTAAAAAAAAACTCAATATTTTTCATAAAAAGCTGTACTTTTGACTTTTACTAAAAATCTTTAGGCAAGAATGTTAACAGTAAACAAAAAGCAAGTATTGGACGCCATTCATTTCCATTTCAGTTCTGAGCTCAGCTCTGCTGTTTATAATAACTCAACCTGCCAAATGGGTCTTCCTAACCAGCTTAGTCAACCAACTTTATTAAAGTATTCTTTCCATATATAAATATACACATATATGTAAAAATATACATATATGTAAAGAGTACTTTACATACATATATATTACATCTTACTGCAGATATAAGCTTCCAAAAATTGTATAGTATCACAGTAATTTATAGTTGTAGGGTTTGTCAGCTGCTGTTCTTTCACACAAAATATAATCATTAATTTATTGTCAAGAAACAGTGAGAGTTTACCATTTGTCCTCACAAATGTTAAACAAAGTAAATTTTGGTACATTTAGGACATTGTGGATTATTTTGCTCTCAAAGCATCTATCAAGATAATGCTTGAGATATCCCTGAATTTTATTTCAGCTCTACGTATGTCATTGGAAGACAATCTAAAGTGGCTTGGGGAAGTTATGGCTGAAATTGGACCAACCCACTTAGAAAAAAATGAAGAATGGAATTTATTTGATGTAAAACAAGCCAATGCCATCATTGATTACTTACAGATCAGGTATAGATTTTTAATAGCATTTCTGTTAATTTCATAATTTCCAACAAATATCTATTCAATAAGAATAATTGTTTTCAGAAAATTAAGATACTTCACAGAATTTATGCAGTAATTAACCCAACTCATAAATAGAGAATATTCAAAGTTTGCATTCTATAAATAAAAATCAGATCATTGAACATTTTGGCTAAACTTGCACTCTAAGAAAATGGATTATGTTTGATAAATATAATTTCATCTAGACTTATATAAATTACCCAAGAATTTTTTGTTACATTTCTAATACCATTTTATTAATACAATGATTCTTTCAGATTAATCAGATTCTATTACAACAGATTGCATTTTAGATAGTTGATGTGTTCAGTGATCTAATTTTTCATTCTAAAGAACAAAACCCATTTCCATTTATTTAGTTAGTTTATTTTAAATGCTTTGTATTAGAAATGAAAGAGATTTATCTATATGCTTCCTCAAATATATTACATGCCTTGAAAAATTTTGTAATATTGACCAATTAAATTCATTATTAAGTCTTTCTGCTTAAAAAATGATAGTGGATGGAGGGAAAGTATTTTTATTACAGTGATTCTTCATTGGTGAGTGAACAAATCTCTCTTTATATAATCTGTCACAAGGCCTGCATTAGAATCATGCATCTCTCCGAAAGGATGTTTTTGGAATTTGCAAATAATCGAGCAAGAGTAGGTAAAATATGTTTCTTTTGCCTAACTAAAATCATCTGTAGAATATGTTTGCTACACACTTTCCTTTTATGGCATATATTCCAGTGTTTTCCAATTTCAAAATTTTAAATTCTGATTCAGAGTGCTAAATGATTTCCTAGACATGCTCATGGTTTGCTTGGCAAAGATCCTGGTTGTAGTTTGGAAGGTTTATAAATATTAGTGTGTTTAATATGATAAAGTTTATATACTGTTTTCTGGCATGAATTAATAGTGGCATATGATATAATATTTTTGTATAATCACATTTGATATAATCTCACATTACATACACACACAAAAAGCTCCTATTGGGTATCTCTCACTAAAAACTACAGTAGTGTTCTTCTCTGTGAGTGGGGAGGAGTCAGGAAGGAAGTTCAGAACTGGAGAAGGATCATATTCCTCAAGGTCTCTCTGCCCATTAGGGTTTGAGAATCAGTGAATGAGAGGAATTGTACTCTGCGCATTTGTATCAGCATCTTCTTTCTCTTCTGCGTCTATTTGGGCATACCAAGTTTCTCTTGCAAAACACCTATTTACAGCCGAGCTCTGTGCCCAGGAAGTTTGTTAGGAGCGTGGGGACTGATAGTTAACCAGAGCTGCAAAATCAGTGTAGGCATCACAACACCTTGTAGACAATGAAAAATGGCATCTCTTCTCCCTTTCATCTCATCTCTCTAGACATATTTCATGACATTTTCTTTCAGAAGATTGTTATGTTATGAGCGATCATCAGTGTTAGTACCTTGATATTCCAACCAAAGTGACTTCATATACCAAAAATCTCTAATCTTACAACTCTGAAAAAAAAATCAATATTTCAGATATCAGCCAAAAAATAGAACTATTTCAATTCTGTTAAATCTTCATGATGTAATTTTAAAGAAATTATACATTTTAAATAGCCATATTATAGAAAAATAATATCAAGTTACTAGGATATATTGAAGTTGTGTAAAGTGAAATAAGCTTTTCTACACCTGTCCACAATCCCTCATGCATACACAAAAGGAAGTTTAGTGGCAGTTAAATCATACAATACTTTTCATTTTCATGACTACAAAGCAGTTTTTTTAAAATATGAATGTATCTGAATTATCAAAAGTATAACTATTACAATTTAACCCAATACTGAGTTTACCCAAACACTGAAATCTCTAGTCAGTTTAGGAAGCACTCATAGCACATGAGCCTGACAATAAAATTAAAATGTCATTGAGTGTTCTTAAAGCAGTCTAAACTGCATATTCTGTCTTATATCTGTAATTTGAAAAAAACTCATACCAAGATTCCTTCCCAACATTACTGTAAGTAGATGTGTATAGATAGGCAGATAGATACGTGTGTGTGTATGTATGTATTTTTTGTATATACCATGTAATATATTGTGCAGTGTATAAGAATATATGTACAGCTGCAGCTTTGTAATATAAGTCATCATTTACATATATAGCTGGTCTAAGTACGCATTTGTCTTTGTGAATTCTACCTGTCCCCTGGGAATGAGGTGGAAATAAAGTACACAGTCACATGCCCTGTGTAAGAACGAACTCTTTTCCTTTGTACATAGCAAGGCATTACACTTCCAGACTTATAGATACATTTCTATTCCATCTTCTTCTGATTTAGCACTAAGACTAGATGTTTGACAGAATAGCATAGGAGCCTGAACTAGCACAGATTCAAAAGGAAGAGGGAGAAAATCCACTTACCTGGTTGAAGTGTCACTTTGCTCCCATGCAAGACCTAATAGCTCCCTAGCAAAGCTGAAGGTGGGGGGTGAGATAAGGAAAGAGAAACATCTCAGCCTACCCCTGAGAAAACGCCCCCTTAGGTACCTACCCTGGATATCTAATCCTACTCCTGACTCTGTCCCCAAATACGCGTGTTTAACCCCCTCATCCAAGTCATACATTTTATTTTCATTGTGAGAAGTAAATCTTCTTTATGGCATGGGACAATTAATTTCTACATGCAATGAAGAGAATAAGACAGAAAGACTATGAAACTGTCAAAAGGAAAATGTATGAATTAAATAATTTGTGTGACACAAGATGGAGAAAGGAAACTCTTACATTTGTTTATTGAGAGGGAGCTAAGTTATTTCCAAAATCCTCCATCTTCTTTATTTTTCTACTCAGAATTAGACTGTAGGACTAGTTGGATGCTGTGAATATACTAAAACCACTGAATTGTAAATTTTAAATAGATGGATTGTAAGCTTTGTGAATTACTTATCTCAATGAAACTGTTTTTAAATTTTCAAAAAAAAAGATCAGTTATTATCAGTGCAATGTTTTTGACCTTAAAGCTTTTCTTATGTCACCAGTGTAAAAGAGAGAAAATTGGAATTTATTTTGCTTCATCAGAATTATCAAACTTCACTAATCTTAATTTATTCTTCTAGCCAACAAATCAAAATGATGTCAAAAGCTAACTTAGTTTTCTGAATTTTGATGGATAATTTAAATGTACAAGCTCCCCCCCCTCCAAAAAAAATGTAGTAACTGAGTTTGCACACCCCTCACTTTTTAATGAATTGTGTTAGTAGTGAGATCAACTGCTAATATAACTCAGAGAGACCCAGCTGCCTGAGGATTTCTTCATTGATTTCAAATGAATTGAAACTTTGATCCATTACAGCATTCAGGAGAAGCCATTATTATACATGCTCTGTAGCTACATTTTGCAAATGTTAATTTCTCAGTTATATTAAAATCAATTTTCTTAAATAGCAAAACGCACCAGAGTGAAAGAGAAACCACTAAGACAATTTTTTTCTTGTGCATTTTGCTGTATTATGAGTCTATTAATTTTCCCAACCAGCAGGAAGGGAATTAGAAAAATTCAAATATTATCACAAACAGGATATTAGAAGTCAGCCCTTCAGTAAATTTTTAACTCTCAATAATACATTGCTGAGCTCTTGAAAAATCACTAGAAATGTTTGTTTTCAGTACCTTCTATCCTTTAGGTCTTTGTAGCTTTTAGGTAGGAAAGAGACACATGTTCCTTCTTAAATTAATTTCACCCTTTGATGTGCGACTGAATATTTTTCAGGAAAATCAGAAGGCTTCTAAATGGATTTCAGTTCATGTCAAATAATTTTTTCAGGTGCTTTTGGAGATTAATTTAATTTTGAAACAGTTCAGGAATGTGAGAACTAATTGATATGGAAGTAGATTGTAGAATTCAGTGCCATTTTACTGGAAAAAAATTGACTCCATTTTAGACCAAAACGTAATAAATAATGTGAAGTTTAATGTTCCTTAGGGATGGTGCATTGTTTGGCTTAAAACTAGGAAAAGTCAAGTCAATCTAATTGTTCCCTTATCCCAAACCTATCCAATCTTCACAGATAGACTTACTGATATCATTGTAGGTACCGTGTTACAGTGTCAACCTCTCAAAACATAAAACTTACTTCTTAGCATTTAAGGACAATTTCTTTTGGAGTAACAGATATGTAAACTCTATGTTAGCATTTAATATCATTAGCATGGTCATTATGAACTTTCTTTTAATAAATACCATAATTTAGTTTGTTTTTCCTGAAATAAATCCATCAGTTACACAATCATTTTGTATTTCAGCTTATTTCAACACTACAAGCTGTATGAGTTTATGTTTTACTTTACCAGAGAAGAAATTGTGATCGGAACTGAGGTAAGTAATTTATCTAGATGGAACCAATTAAGCTGAATCACTTAATGCATGCTGATCAGCATCTGGATATTTAACTGCTTAAAGCAACTTCTTGTCAAGATTATTCAAGTGTTAATATAACCAACTTCTAGTCTGCAGAAAGAATAATTATATAAAGTGAGCTTTGGATTTAGAAAATAAGCTGTCTTTCGGCATTAAAAGCACTGTTAATCACATATACTTTATGGATTTATGGATTATTTGAGCTCAATTGAATAGACTGTATGTCTTCATACAAATAAAATCAAGAAAATGAGATAAATTAATTCAGTTAAATCTTTTCTAATTTCATATTAATTTTCAGTCTATTCATTGTTTAAGGCCTAATTCAAATTCCGCTTCCTCAATGAAGCGACCATATCTTAATTGCATCAAATTTCAGACAAAGGATTTGGACAAACTCTCTAATCACAGTCTATGATTTCATTTCAATTGATTTCTTCTTGTTTAATTGTGGCTACTTTACACCAATAATCACATAAATATGCACTGTGTTACGTGATTTTCTGTTTCCTGTGGGTTGATATGGTCAATACAACTCAACAGTAGTTGTCCTGAAGGGTAGGATCATTTGCTGTTTTTCTATCACAGTACATTGTATAATGTAGGGCACAGTAGCCCCTCAAGTAGTGCACAGAACAATAGTTCAGCACTAAATAGTCTGTCCAGATACATGCTTGGATATCTTTACATATAATCATGTGTTGGTAAACACTAGGAATTAATCCTACGTAACAACATCCTCAGGAGGCAAAAACTATCCGGAAAAGTGCTCTTGTATGTTCTCAATCCTGCCCCATATATTCACGTTTTTCTTAATAACTATCCTGATATTAAGAACCAGATGCAATGTGCCAAGTCTTCTGTCTTACTGAATGTTGTTATTTTAGGATTTATAAATTGCTTACTTCAAAACCATATCAATCACTGTGATTCATCCTCCATCTGAGTACTTTTTCTAGGCAGGCCTTTTAAAAGTATGCTGCAGTAAAACAAAGGAACCTTTTTGCTTTTGATTTTCCTCAAAATTACTTCTTTGTAATCTCTTCGTACTTTTGCTCATATTAAATGTCCTTTGACAATGTTTCACTGAAAATGTTTCCACTTTAGAATTATATAGCATGACAGTATTACACACTGCAATTATTAGTTTGTAATACAACCCTACCCAGCAAAACTTTCTGAAAATAATAGTGTTTTCAATGGTATAAGTGGACATTTAGAGTCATCAAGAAAAAATTTCAGAGAGCACTCCCTTGCCCTTTGTTAGTTGCACAATCATGTCTTTCTTCTATATTTAGGTGACATTTATGCTTATGGAAAGATAAAATGAATGAAATATCCTTAGGGAAAAGATTTGCGTCTTTTAAGAATTAGACCACTCATGGGCTTTTAAAGGATTAACAAAAGTAGATATTATACTATAATACGTTATAGCATATTGTTAGTGTCAGATGACCGTTGGTACAAATATCTGCTTTTTAATTAATGATCTTTCATGGCAGAGGTCTGCCCCACTAATGTGATTATTCATGCTGATCTCAGCACTGTGAAACCAAACAAGGGCCACATGAAAACCTCATGAATGTTTCAAAATTTAACTGTTAGGCAAACATTCAGATAATACTGATGAAATTTACTTTATTTATTAATTGTGGATGGAAGATTAGAACTAAATGCAAGTCTCTTCTGCTGATGGGAATAGCCAGTTCCTAAATGATAAAAGAATGAAGAAATAGAATACAATTGCTATTCAACCCTTACTGAAATAATGGATCTAGAAAATGATGAGCAGTGGGTTGTTAACAACATGAAAACAGAAAACCGGACATTATTTGCCTTCAAATAAAATTATACAAAACCACCTATGAATTGCTTTTGCTAGACATTTTAACTGGCTGGTCATCAGATCATTCTTCTAATACTACCAATTTACTGGAAATACCGATACAGAAGAACAAGTAAATGACATCACAGGAATGTGAACAGCAATCCAGGTAGTGAGAGTCTGTAAGACAGAAGATGTAGACTCTTCAACAAATAAATTGCACGGAAATAAACAAAATATATATCCTACTGATTAAAATTACTTACATACAATTCAATGAAGATATCTTACTTGTACCCTACTTCAAACAAACAGGCAAACAAACCCAACACAACACAAAACAGTTACAGGATCATCAGCAATGTTTGAGCGTGGGCTACATATGTGATGATAACTAATATTAACTTCTGGAACCTGTGAATATGTTACCTTTCTTGGCAAAAGGGACTTTACATATGTGATTGAATTTGAAATTTGTATTAAATTAAATTTGAAGTGGGAGGATATTGTGGATTGCCCAGGTGGATCCAATGTATTCATAAGCTTCCCTATAAGAGAAAGAGTAGACAGGAGAGTGAGTTAAAGGAGAGAGAGCTTTGAAGGTGTTGCAGAGTTGATGGAGAATGAAGCCATAACTATATCAATTGTCTTGGGGTCTGCTTTGGAAATCTCTTATTGTTCTTTTTAATATTTAATTGATTATCATTGTTCATTTTTGTTAAGTAATAAATTTGGAATTAAACTCACTTATATAAGGATTTTTAGTGTATAACATATATGAGTAGTAAAGTGGCATTTAAAATTATTTGGGATTATTATATGTTTAGTAAAAACAAATTAGATTTCCTTCTTATAACAAATTTTAAAAATGATTCTAATTTATTAAGAGATCCATTTCCCATCTGGCTCAACATTTCCATTGAAAACAACTAGAAAAGCTGGAAGATTTTTTTAACCATGTTTGAAAACTCAGCTAGCAAAGCTTTAAATATTATGGATCCAAGAGGCAAACATTGCCTTTGGAAATGCCTTCTACCTATAGTAATCTACCAGTTTGGAAAAGGTGGTAAGAGAAGCTGAGAAGTAGAGTTTTGGTGCATATATGGAGCAAAGAGAGCAAAAATTAGAAATGAAGAGAATATAATAAATCCTGCCAGTATGTGTTGAGACTCCAAAGGATTGCATTTTTTAACGTTTTTATTTATTTATTTGAGAGGTAGAGTTACAAATAGTGAGCAGGAGAGATAGAGAGAAAGATCTTCCATCTGCTGGTTCACTCCCCAAATGGCCACAATGGCCAGAGCTGTGCCAATCCAAAGCCAGGAGCCATGAGTTTCTTCCAGGTCTCTCACGTGGGTGCAGGGGTCCAAGCACTTGGGCCATCTTCCTCTGCTTTCCCAGGCCATTGCAGAGCTAGGAAGTGGAGCATCCAGGACTCATACCGGTGCCCATATGAGATGCCAGCACTGCAGGCAGAGAATTAACCTACTGCGCTACAGCGCTGACCCCAGGATTTTATTTTAAAAGAGATCATCCCTCACATGGACTGAATTTCATTTTCAATTAATTCAATTTCTGGTAGATTTATGTTATCTATGCATAATGTGGTTGGAATACTCCCTACAGTAAAACAAAGTCATGATACATTCCAGATTATATCTACAGGTTTTTTTTTAATGACCATTATTTATCACACAATAAAAAATGACAAACTGGAAGACAAGTCAAAAGAAAAAAATAAAAAATGAAGCAAGACAAACAGGGCAAGAAAAACATGAGCAAAGAATATTAACAAACAGTATATGAATAAATAGATATGGGAATATTAAAATTGCAGTTATCAAGGAACTATGAAATTTGATATTTTTCAATTGTAATATTGGCTAATAATAAAAAGATTTATGAACACCCTTAATAGTGAGGATGCAAGAAAACAGAACTCTACATATATGTGGTGAGAGGTTAAATTTGTAAAGCCACTTTGTATACCAGATTGGCAAAATCACATTCAATGAATGTGAAGTATAGACTAATTATAGAAAACTGAGTTTTTAGAATAAAGTTGTAGATTCTCATGTATCAGTTATGTTGAGATCTCTAAAATGCATTCTTAATTTTAAAAGTATAGAACAATATGAATAGCATCCTATTTCTTTTTTGAAGGAGATAAGCTTGTAAATATATAGACATGTATATGCATGTAAGAGATTGTAAAAGAACTAGAAGAATTTAAACTATATATGGTTTACCTGTGGGTGGTAGAGTAGAAGTAGGAATTGGCTATGATGTGAAAAGGACATTTTATTCTCTGTGTTTCAGATTTATGTTGGTTTTTTACAACATGGATGTCTTCATGAATTACCTGTACAAGAACAAAATTGTTCACTAGTTCATTCCCAAGAAGGACCGAGACACATTTTATAAATTAAGTACAAGCATATAAACTTGTTTATATACTAGCATACTGACAGACAGGCACTGGGATATCAACCAGCTGTTTACAAGGAAAAGGTCAAATAGAAAAAAACTAGACAAACTCTCAATCCATAAAATTAAGTACTTTACAAGTGAGTTGCTACCACATTTTAATTTTAAGTATAAATGAGTTTTAGCTGAAAAGTCATTTATAGAGTAAAAATCTGGTGTTGTGCTATAACATCTAAAATTTTCTGCAAGAAAATAAAATTGATATCATGAATTATGCATACATACCACATTTTAAAAATATTTATTCAGTTTAATTTCACCAAAGTAACAACACATCAAATCTTGGATCATTTGTAATTTCAGAGGTTACATTATATATATTTAAACACATGCACATACACATAGACATATTTGCATTGGGATATATAAAACCTTAGAAGATGTAGTCTGCTTTAATAATTTCTCCAATTTGTAAAATATGATAGATAGGTTGTATTAGTCAGCTTTTCATTACTACAACTAAAATATCTGAGAGGAAAAAAAGCTAATTAGAAGGAAAGAAGGTTTATTATATGTTTTGCAGGTCCTAGATCTGGTGGCTGCATTAATCTGGTATCTGGCCACATTTGTCTGGTATCTGATGATTGGCAAAAAGTGTGTGCAATAAACATCATGTAGTAAACCAGGAAACAAAGAGGGAACAAGT